TTTATTTATTTATTTATTTATTTATTTATTCTGTGTGTGCGTGGCCAGCTCAGCCCACCAGGAGGCGGGCGGGCTGGCATGTGGTGCTGGGGGATCGAACCGCGGTCCCTGTGCTTTGCTTAGCTTAGCTTGTTGTACGTAGGTGCTTTAGACCACTGAGCCATCTCACCAGCCCCTAAAGAAAGGTTTTAATAGTTTATTTCACTGGTACAAATACAGATCACAATATGACCTACAGTGAGGAAGTTAGAGGTGCCTTACATTTCACTGTTTACTGTTTAAGTCTCTAGATTCACACACTTAGGAAAATGCAAATCCTAGAACGGATCTGTCATGTCAATCCTAGTCTGTCACACTGGAATGTTCCAGAAAATATTCCCTACAGTAAAACCTTGAGAAATGGATTCAAGAGGAGAGCACCAGCATCTGTGAACAGTCCAATCATTGCTGTTCTCTGTATGCTGGACCTTAGAGTGGGGACTAGAGATGCTCAATGGAAAAACTAAGGACAATGGGTTTGATTGGTTCTCAAAGTGGCAGGAGTGAAGTGGCAACACATAATTGCCAAAATCAAAGTGCAGGCACCTATGAAAATGCATAGCAGAAAAAGAATAATGATCAGAAAAAAAAATGATCAGAATAATCCACAAAAGTTTTACTAGATACATAGTGTTATGGTCTGTGTCTAGGTGTCCACCCCTCAAAGCTTCCTGCAGTCTTGGGGTGGCTTCTGGAGTTTGTGATTGATTAGCATGGGTGTGGATGGGGCACCTGCCCTGGGGCAGGTAATCTGCATTACAATGTAAGGAGGGAAGAGAAGCTAGCTGCCTGTGCTGCTACCCCTCCCTTGCATTCTTGCTCTTTGCCTCTGCCAAGAAAGGTTGTTCTCTGCCTTGTGCCAGTAACTGAGCTAAATAAACCTTTCCTTCCTTCATTTTGGGTGTTGGGTATTGCTCCCAGCAATGAGAGAAGAGTAACTAAGACACATAGTATCAAAAAAGTAAGGAAGTGGGGGCCTGGCCCTAGCTCAGGCCTTTAAGAGGCTGCTTCCACAAAGCTGTCAGCCTCAGGTTGCTGGAGTTCAAACCTCACACCTCTCCAGCTGGCCAAAAGTGCCC